GCGGCCATGCCAGATGCGGAGTGGAGTGGGTAGGCGTCTAGGATGTATGTGCCTGTGAAGAACTAGATGAGAGTTAGCGGTCGTATAGCAAGTGTTGAGAACCGACTCAAGACGATACATGAGTTGAGGAGGATGAACTTACGATAGCGCTCATAGACCCAGCACCAAACACCGCCGTTCCGATCAATGGCGCAATCCAGTGCACACCATACTGAGCCGTCCAAGCATAGATGAACAACCCAATACTCACAAGCGGCCACCAGAAAATCATGGGTAGCAACCTGTTCTCCGGTCTCGCGTCGCCCTTGAGTGCCTTCCGCTTGACGAGGCTGTCGCTAATTGCACCGCCTCCAAGCATACCAATGAGGTTACCGACAGCCGTACCGAGATAAGCAAGGCCCAGATTTTTGGGCGCCCATCCGTAAGTCTCGACGAATGTTGTCGGGATGGTTGTGTACAAGATATATAGGGATCCGTATCCAATAGCCGTGAGCAGCGAGGTAAAGAAGATCGGTCGAGACAGGAAAAGCATGCGTAGCGGCATCACCATCGCCGTGCGAAAAGCTACCAACTTGCTCGTCCCAGCGTCCGAATCAGACTTGGCCCTTAAATCCTTATTTCCCGTGTGTTTCCGCAACTGTGCAGCTTTTCGACGGAGTAGAACCGGTTCATACGTCTCCGACAAACATACCATGCTGAGCACCGTACTCACCCCGCCCAAGATAGCAGTAAGATAGAATATCCACCGCCACCCTCTCGCAGCGTTGAGGTAGCTACCCGCTGTAGGACTGATCGCGGGACCGAGATTATACGCCAATCCTATCAAGGCCATGACCCCCCCACGTTTCTCTTTCACCCAGAGATCACCGATGCTGGATGGCGCGAGGGCGAATACGCTACTACCGCCCACGCCGGCAAGGAAGCGGAAGACAGCCAAGGTGCCGAGAGAATTGGATCGTCCACATGCGAAGGTGCTTACGGTAAAGAGCACGTTACATCCGTGGTACAAAGGCAGTCGGCCGTATTGCTCCGAAAGGGGACTTATGAGAAGGGGACCGAACGCGTAGCCTAGGACGTAGATACTCAGGACGAAGGCAGAGAGGTAGGCATCGGTTGATGCGAAGTCTCTTATGATGTCTGGCATTGCTGGCGCGACGACGGAGGACGTGAATGGTCTACTGAACGTTAGCGGGTTGTGATTACAGTATGGATGAAGCAAGATACTCACGATAAAAAACACATGATGAATATGCAACCGATATTGATGTCCTTCTTCCACGAGAGAAAGTTCCTGGGGTTTGCCGCATCGTCGTTGCCGTGCCAGTCGACGACACTCAACTGTCTTTCCTTGCTACGTCTGAGGGTGCTGGGTGTGTCTAGCATGTTGGAGCCCGGGCTTGTGTTGTGGCTGTTGTAAATGCTCGGTAGCTCTTCACTCCTATAAAGCTCCAAAGCTTCTTTTCGTGTGGAACTGTAACTCATGACGTTCGCCGGAGGGCAGGAGTGGATTGGAGTAACGTAGTGGGAGCAAGGAGGGGACGGGAAAGCCGAATTGGTCTGCGTTTGAGTAACGTGGTTCACGTGAGGCGTCTTGACCAGCACTGTGATGGGGTTACGGGATGTGACGAGCACGTCATGTAGTCAAGATGAGTTCACGTTTGAAGAGTTGCCGCTGCCGCGTGGAGGACGCTAACACCCCAGGGCTTTCCATTTCCGATCTTCGCAGAAGGAGCCATTCGGAGTGTTCCCAATTCACATTGGCAAGTGGAAGGAAAGAGGTGCGGACGGTTGATATAACGAACCGGGAGGACGCGAAAATTGGTGCGATCTCTGCTTTTCTTCTTGCTTCCGACGGCCAGCTACTTACATTAGCGTGAGAACGAAGACGTCTGAAGTCGACCAACATGTGCTACCTGTCACTCTCAACTTGTACAGGATACTTCTCTAAGCTCTCATACCACTGAAGCGTACTTCCAATCATGAAGGCCCAACTACCCCAGAACGTACTGAGTGACGCCTGATATTGCGCCCAGCTCCGAGTATCGTATCCGAAAGCCGGACACAGCGTGAAGCCTATACCGCCTATGAGGTTCCAGGCCCCGACCCACCATCCCAGCGTTCGAGGAGCAGATTTCCACCATTTGGACTGAGTCTCGATCATGAAAAGGGCTCCAGAAATGATGAAACCTACACCGCCAACGACTTGAGTTGTCCAGTAGAGGATTTTAGTAAGGGTTTGTGACATCTGATCGTATATGCCGGGCAGTGCGGTCAGGCCCGCGATCCAGAAGATTGTTGCGCCGAGCAGCTGGGACATGGACGCTATGAACCCGAGGTTGTGAATGTAGTGGGTCCGTAGTTCTTCGTTTGACGGCCACCAGACCCAGGAGCGCTCTTGCGGCTCCAAAGCGGGTTTTGCTTCGGCGATTTGTCGAGTCCTGACAGCATGCCGTTTGTTGTGGTGGTGCGTGCAATGCGACTTTGACGGCCGCAGCTCTACGCGTACATCCCCCTCCTCTTCATGCGATAGAATCTGCTCCACGGCCCATCCGAAGCAGCCCGATCGGCCCTCATTCACAGCTTCTGCTACGAGGAGGAATGACCCCACCTCGAAGATGCAGACCCCGACAAACGCTGTTATGCCACCACCATACAATTCCTCGTTTGTAAATTCCGAATCGGGTCGTACCAACGGCAGAAATACGAAAAAGGCATTGAACAACCATACTACGCTGCCCGATGTGAAGACAAACGCGACGTCGAAGGAAATGTCCCATACGGGGAAGTATGTGAACATCCGCCAGATGTTGCGTGCGACGCTGCGGTACGAGGAAGTCGGGCGGGGGGTATCGTGCTTCGTCGAGACAGCAGTCTGGCTATGTTGGATGTCTACGGCATGTCGTCCTTTGCGGTCATTGCGCGAAGTCCACTTGTAGCGGACATCGGGACGGTCGTCGTGGCGGTAATGAGCGCGCGTGGGGTTGAGAAAAGGTATAGGGCCGGTGACACGATCGCCTTCGAGGCGTAGGCCGGTGCCGTGTCTCACGGGTTCGGGTGCTGGGTGGAAGGTTTTGTTGCGTTGCGTTCTGCGCGTGGCGCCATCGCGACTTGTCATGGCAGCTAGCTGTCGTCAATTCGGGTGAGTGTTGCCGTGTCGTTAGCATTGATAAAAGCTATTGGCATCTTCGCGAGACAACTAGCGAGAGAGTAACGTGAACCCATGTTTGGACGCGAAGATGCTGCCGGCCTGCGTCATAGCCCCAGATCGTTGGAGTTGTTAGCGTTCCCCAGCCCTGCTGAGTCAGCACTCTGCCTAATCCTCTGCCTTGCTACGCGCATTACCCTCGAACCACGCAGCTCCTCCCTAGATACGCGTCACGGACAACTGCATTACTTTTCAAAGTGCTCCTGAACACAGGACACCCACATACTCGTCAACAACATCTTAGAAAGTTTCTGGTAGGTACTTACCTAGGTGGGTAGCCTGTGACAGGGCAAGCCCGCGATTCGGTGCTGAAAGAGAATCGGTATGTCGCTTCTTCACCCAGAAGCTAGTGGTCGTCTCGCCTGTGACTTTTGTCTTACTCTAGTCTTCTTTGCTATGGTGGATTCCTACTGAAAACTCCGTGGCCTACAGAACTGGACTGATCGGGACTCTCGCTAACTCGAAAGACTAAAGCACTGTAATAGTCGGCCAGCGCGAAGCGACTTCAAGACAAGATGTTTGCAGGTAGGTCACTCGTACTGATCATGATCATGTAGTTTACTAAAGCCAGATTAGAACGATGTCATCTCATCACGATGGATACGCGCATTCCATCCAAAGCAGACGCGCCCGAGTACACCTTTGCTCTTGCCTACCGAAAGCCCGTACGTACACACCTGGACTGAATTCAGTGTCGATGAGATCTAACAAGAAGCAGGAACCCATACCCAAAACCTGGGAGGCCATGGCAGGTGACAACGGCGTCAGTTTTCTCGATCTACCGCGAGAGCTAAGAGACATGATCTACAACTACATCTGCACCGACCTGCCACAAATCGGAGACGGATGGCGTGATAAGCACGACGAAGGAAAATACGGCATCCCCGCCGCCACCGAGGCTCAGGCCGATATATTGCACGACTGCAATATCATGAGGACGTGCCGCCAGGTGCATTGGGAATTCGCCGAAATGCTCTACGCGCAACCCCTCCAAATCTGCAGCCCCATATACGAGTTTCAGACTCAGTTCATCCTGCCCGGCTCGCATATCCTGCCCTTGTCGCCAACATACGCAGATCTCGTTAAGAAGGTGGCTGTCCTTCACGACACAGAAATCGGGCACACCCGAGACCAGTACCACAAACTTGGGAAAAATACTTCAGTCGAGAATCATTGGCGGAATCTTGTCACAATCGCGACGCAGTTAGGAAAGCTCTTTCCCAAGATACAGACTGTACGCGTGCTTTATCGCATTTGCCCACGGGATTACAGTCGTGATAAGACATTCCAGACTCTGTGCGGACTACATGGCGACACCAGAGAGAAGCAAGTCGAGAAGTCTGAAACGTTTATCAAGGGTGTGTGTTGGAGTGATGGGAGACCCGTGAAGCTGCCACCGCAACTAGAGCTGGTGAACTTGGACTTCGACACCATCGTCGAAACCCCTTTGGTTGAAGCTATAAAGAACGTGCGAGCTGCAGAGCTGCAGAAGAAAGAGCTCAAGGGAAAGCAGTGTGCGTAAACTAGCTTTGCTAGCAAGCAGTTTGCCGTATGGTTCCAGATCAATACGACAGAAGTTTGGCATGAAACAAGTTGAAGACTCCAATGTGAACTAGTGGTATCAAAGCCGAAGGCGTTTTGCACAGTTCCGGCGCCACAAGGTCATCACCAAACGCCACCGCTGTGCTAATAATACAGAAACCGTGGTAATAATACAAACAAATCCAACACCAGGTCTAGTCCGACCATCATTCCAACAACACACGATACACATCATGCATCACAAACCCCACCCTCACTTCGCCTTATTATCCCCCTTCCTCCCCTTCTCCCTCTCATCAATCTTCAACCCCCTAACCAACTGCCGTCCCATCATCCTAGAAATCTCCTTCGCATAATCCGTCATGCGCATGTTATTCCTCTCGTCGTCGCTCTTGCCCTCATACGCCTTCTCGCTGTACGGCGGCGGCGCATCTGTATACCGCGCGTACTCCGCTTCGATGCGCTGGAGGTTCGAGTTGGACGACGAGCTCGAGTCGCTGCGGTGGGTTGAGGAGTGGTTTGACGAGTGCGAGTGTGTTGATGGACTGGGGAAGGACGTGTATGAGGAGTTGCGCGCTGCGGAGTCGTCTGTAGTGGAGGCTCCAGAGGGTCTTTGACCTGCGGCGGCGGCTTTGGCGATGGAGGAGGCGGAGTCGTGGCGCGAGGAGAGCATCGAGGAGGGGGTTTCGCGTTCGTTGACGCTGACTTCGGGGTAGTGGTCCATCTTCGCGTTTGGGAATGACTCGATCTCGTAACAGCGGTAGGAGTAGTAGCAGCAGTAGTAGTGTAAAATCTAGAAAACAAGATCTGAGATCTTTTGTATGACTTGAAATGTGGTGTGACTACTAGCGTCCTTTGATGATGGAAGTGTTATTGGTTGCGCGTGTCCTGCTGCTGCGGTCGATGGCTGGGATATTTAAACAGCTGCCTACTCATACAACGCACATGATGTACATGACACAGAACCATACCAATCCTGTAAGTAATACTACGACGTCATTGCAGCGCCATCATGCCCAGCCACGCTTTGGCTATCGCAGTCCGGATGAGGAAATGATGTGTGGCTCATCAGAAGACCACGCCTCAAAGGCAGGAATGCGTATAGTGCTTGGTTTCTATGACAAGCTGGCGAAGACATTCCACAGCTGGCAAACTCAGTCTTGGACTGTTTAATGACACGCGATGATCTGGAAAGATGATGATGTTGGGGATGAACGTTATCGGGGAGGCGGACACGGAGCAAAGCGAGGCGCAAGCGAAGCGAAGGATGTGTGGCGTTGCGAAATGGATGGGTCCAATGATGTCATTCATCACCATCAGCCGTGCCGTGTCGCACAGCAAAGACCGGGAAAGCTGAGCATGCAGATCACAGGACATGATGAAACAATAATTGGCATATACGAAATGATGGGGTATCTTGGGTCCACACAGTGGACAATGCGTGTAACGTGACAGAAGTAGGAGATGGGCGGTAGGACGAAAAGCAGGTACTGAGCCCCAACCAACAAACCTCATGCCCTGACTAGACCCCTGACGGCGTTCTTGAGCTTCCCCAACCCCCGCGAACCCCTCTTGTGGGATTTGTGTCGCTCTAGCTCCATGGCCGTTGGCGCGTTGAAGTTGCCGCTTATTCTTCCAATCTCGCTCTGCGGGTGATGTTGGTGTGCTGGTGACGGCGAATAGTACGGCTCAGCTGATGAGAATCTCCTCGGACGCCCCGTGTCGTCGTCAGAATACGACGATCTCAGGTATGCTGAAATGACGGCTTGTTGAGACAGTTGCTCATCATCGGATGACCGAGGTGCGTGGTGTATCCGTGGTTGATGCGAGTCTGCGCGCTTCCGGGATGATGGCATGAACGATGCACTGCGCTGGTTTGGGTCTTCGGGTATATCGCTCATCGAGTACCTCGCTAACATGAAATTAAGGATGGTGTTGATGAAGAGGGTGTTCATCGCTTACGTTGTTGCCGTTGAGACCTCTCCTGCCGCTCTTGTTTCTTTTGATTGTCCATGTTCGCTTTCTCGTGCCAAATAGTTCGTAATGCTCGATAATGCGCCGTTTGTAAATATTGCGCAAACTCTTTCCGTGGGTGATAAAGTGAAGATGCGCAACGCTTGAACGCAATGAAACACAACAAGAACCTCGAAATTAAGGAACACCCACCTTTTCATACTTATCAACATAGCCATCAAGTAACTTCGCCCAATGCACGTGGTACCATGGTAAAATACCATAATCCCACGTCATCGACTGTACCTCCCAATCAAGTCCATCCCACGAGAAGCTACAGAAGTCAAACCGCGGATCGGAAACAAGACGGGTAACCGGTCAACCTAAGCCTCGAGCGCCCCGCATGCTGCCAACTTGGCGGACGATGATGTCCAGTTAAGGTTGCCTCGCATGGTATAGTACTTGTAGTGTTGGTGTCATCCGGGAGCCCGTATCCGCGGCTGAAGTGAGCGCTGGGTGATGTGAATGGCGGGGTTGGATGCAGGGCAGCCTTAGCCATGGTGCAAGCGGTACACGGTGTAGATACGAGGAGATCGGCACAAGGCTGTGAGAGATCGTGAGATGGATATTCTGGCGAGTGAAGTGTTGCGATGGCGGAGCGATGGATTATCATGACGATATTGGGGTAAGAATGCGACTGGTCGACGGACCTTCATACTCGGGGTATGTAAGGGAGGTGGCGCACGCAGCAGCCAAGACGCAGTTCAAGTGCCATCATGATGCGCCCGCAAAGAATGTACGAGCTGTACAGTACTGTAAAACGCACCTCATGTAGTGCGAAAGTTCTCAGAGGAAAACCGTTCGTGAGGGTGGAACAGGATTGACATTGCAGGTGGGCATCTCGACATTAGACTGTGGGGGTAGGACCGAATAGCATCTGCCGAATTCCCATCGAACATTCACCCTCATCTCTCCAAAGTGCGATCTTCGAAATTCGCCTTCATCTCGCGAGCAAGAAAGAAGCTCTCAAACACGTTCCGTCGTCCTGATGTACAGGGGGCTCATCTCCCCTCTGCCCTCGCTTCGCACCCTCGCCCCGCCCAAAGTGGCAATAATTCCTTCCAAACACCCCCGTCGCTTCTCCTAACGGTGCACAGCCAACGTCCTCCGCCCTGCCCTTATTCTCCCACACAGCAAAGATGAACACACCACCGCGCGCCTGACTTTTCCTTCTCGAACAATGGAACAACTCACAACCTAAACATAGTAACACACGTGCAGCCACCTCACGTTTTTCTTCAAGGCACGCTATGGCGATCTGTTAGGGCCGAGGCGCAGCACAGCACGCCGGCGGCCGGCCTCGGATGCCTGACCGCAACGCGTCCCACAAGTGGGCCTCCGAGATGATGATGGATGGGCGCTGACGCGGTGTTTTTCGAGCGCTCGACCGTCGGACTCAGCCCATGTGGGTTCTTTTCGATAAATAGGAGGAGGGTTTCACCATGGAATGTGGGTGAGCTGTTGATTTTTTGGTGGGCTTTTGTTATTACTATTATCAAGCTCTATATATCGATTCAGATATTCTTATCACTATACAATATATTTGCGCAACTATCAACGGGTCATTACTTCTTCTCGTTCGTACACATATCACGGATTAATAGGGAAAGAGAAGTCGTCCGTAGCACTTGCAAGTTTTCTCGTACGTACCACCTCCACATCCTGTCATCCCGCAGCGGGACGCCGGCCGAGCAACAAAAAGCCCTCAACAAGCATCATCCCTAACGCGCTTCCAGGGGTCTACGCAACATCTTCCCTGATCCACCTTCAAAAGCCATCTAGAACCTGCCCACATAGCAGTACTCCGGCCAGCCACCCCGACAACCAACCTGTTCTTGGCCCTCTCCAAACCCGTAAACAAAGCGTTACGGAACGAAAGGCATCTACCACCTGCCACTCGCATCCGAGCACACACGAATATATTATTAGCCAGGACACGAGCATCAATATTATTGTTGGTGTAGCTTTCCCTTCTCGTATTCAGCACAGAATCGGTACACTACTACTACTACTGCTGTCTATTCTTAAACTTTCGGCCCTACCGCATCGTACCGTACCCGCAACCACTACCACCAAAAGCACGATACGATCGACATACCAGACCCTCGAAAAAAACCTAAAAATGGATTCGCACGCGCAGACCACGACGATCGATACGCAAACATCGTCTGCATCGTCGTCACGAGACTCGTCGCCTAATACTCCCATCACACCTTTGTCGCCCGCGTCATCGGCAGGTAGCGGATACTTCTCCCGTTCTTCGTCAGGGCTCGCATCGCCGCAGGTGCCGTATCACATCATTGTCACGTTCGATGGCAAGGTGCGCGAGATGCTGCGGATAGAGAGGCAGAGTGAGGATATGGGAGAGGAGCGGAGGTCCAGGCGGACGACGCCCCGACCCAGGTACTATGCGCGGAATACAGAGGAATAAACACATGGATAAAAATTGTTGATTGGATGCGTTGGCGAAAATGGCGTTTACGATTTTAATGACTTGGACACACTGGAAAAGACGGTTCGCGACGTTGCGACTGTCATTGGCGATAAGGAAATGGGATACAGAATCTGCGCAACTAGCTGGAATATTGTCAGTAATTGTAAATATAATCGAGAAGAAGGGTCATATTGTACCTACTACTGTCTACAGAATCCAACAAGAAGAAACTTCGCCACTTACGACCCCTTCCGCATCATTCCACCTTCACTTTCTTGGGCGCAATATCGCAGTACACCCTCGGCGACGACGATACCTCCCTCTTCCCCAGACTCGAAAGCGTCCGCGACGCATTCTCGGAACGCTTCTCAATGCGAATGATGCAGCTCTGTTGGCCCTGGTCTTCATTCACCACCCACATCCTGATCCTATCCTCGACGTCTCCACGACAGATGATATGTATCTTATCATCCAGCCCGTGTGGCTCCACCGCGAGAAGTCGTCCTGAAGTAGGACCAAAAGGCGGATCGACTCCGCGTCTACTCCGCGACAACCGGATTCGGAGGTCGCACACCTCATGAGCTAACAGAGCGAAGCCTTCTTGCTGGAGGCGCTCCATCGCTAGTCCCATCAGGTAGAAGAGCAGCATCTCGTCGTGCTCGCAGCCTGCTTCGCCGTCTACGGTGATGAAATCTTGCAGGGCGGAACTTTCTGCGAGGTCTGAAGGTGGGACCACGGATTCGCTTCGTGGCCAGGTGATGAGGTGGAAGGGGATTGCGGAGTAAGGGAGGAGCTGGTAGCGCATGCGACATGGGTTGGTCTTGGATGAGGTTTGCGTCATCAACCTCCTTCGGGAGGGCTTTTTCGTCACTTCCTTTGGTCCATTCTTGATAGCGAGTACGCGGGCGTGAGGTCGGACTTGGCTATTGCTGATGACAAGTGCGTGGGCGGGAGGCTGAACTTGGTTGTTCCAAGTATGCTGGTTTTGCCCGATGATGGAGGGCACAGCCGGATGAGCATGGGCTGCCGACTGTGGTGGAGGTTCCACTGTCTGCTGGAGAGCATCTTGGAAGCGAAGTTGCTCCTTCAGCGCGAAGATGAATTCGCTGTCTACCACCGCGTCGAAGAGCTTGTATAGCTGTGAGGGGTCGCGGAGGTCAAACTCTTCTTGGCCATGTTGCCCGATCAATGTCACTGTTGAGACAGGTTTCTTGGCCTGGTTCACCCTGATGAATGCACGTTGGGTGATGTTCTGCTTGGGGCATCCTTTTGGTGTC